GAGAGAGAGAGAGAGGAGGGGAGGGGAGGGGGAAATGATGGGTTAATAAACTCCTCTTGTAAAAATAAGAGGGTGGGAAAGGCGATGCAGGCTCCTTCCTTGGCAAGGCAGTCTGCAGCTGAATTGGCCCCCCTGAGAATGTGCTTAAAAGTTACAGGTGGCAGGTCACTGCAAATAAAGGAAATAGATTCAAAGATAGATGTTAGCAGTCGGGGTGGTGGAGCGAGCTTGGATGCCCACCTGGTAACAGTGCTGGAGTCACATTCGACCTGTATAGCTGAGTAATGTGTGCTGAAATGGGTGGACTTTTTAAGTCCTTCCAATAGGGTCATGGCCTCGGCATTGGTGGAATTGGTTGTACCAAGGCCTCGAGAAAGAGAGGAATAAGCTGTTGGAATTGGCCAGGGTACGTTCATGTCTAGAGGAACCGTGGTTGCCAAAGGATGTGCCATCTGTGTTAAGTTTTGAGGGTTCCCTGTGGGAGTGGACGCCAGATGGTTCTTATAGTGGGTGAAGGGGATTGAGATACCGGCAGACTGTGCCAACTTCCTCTAAGATTAGAAATAGGGATGTGACAGAAGAAGGGAATGGTAGAAGCCCATAAGGACGTGAGGGAGATAAGACAGTCTGAAATGGAGTGGTGGGGTTTAGCTATACCGTGAAATTCAATTCGTGTTGTTTCTCTTTCCATTAAGATTTCCAAAAAGATTCCTTTCTCTTTTTTTCACTCTAGCCTTTACATTCTTCTCCCTCCTCCTAGTTTCTCTCCTAAAAGCTAGATTCATGGGGTGGGAGCAGGAGCATGTTAAAACTTTTTATTTTTTTAGTGTATCACTCTCTAGACTTGCTTCTTTATTTCTCCTTTTCGAGCTCTTTTCCATATCTCTTAACATATGTCTCTCTCTCTTTGTTTGGATCCTTTTACCTCTCCTGCTCGTTTGAACCTAATCATAGTGGCCCTTCTCATCTTGAGATTGTTGGTTTAGAAAAGGATTAGGAAGTGGTTATGTTACTTTGCTTGTTGACTGAAAATAAAATGTTGGTTCATTTGGTTATGTTACCTTGCTTGTTGGCTGAAAATAAAATGTTGGTTCATTATTTTTCTTACCCATTTGATGGCGGATATTGTTAGGAAATTATTCATGCATAATGCATTCAATTATTGGTCAACACCAAAACATTCTGAAGTATCCAAAATACATCAAAATTATATTGCATGCAGCATCACAATTGGTAGTGGTTAATGGATATTACATGCTTGCTTGAGTCAATTGTGTCATGGATCAACTACTTCGTTACACATTTTTATACAAGTAATGGATACTATATTTAAGCTAGTAGCTCTTGACACACCAGGCTATCCATGTACAAAGTGTTTCCTCTTCAATTAAGTGTAGAGCGGACTACAATGAACTAGTCCCTTTCCCACTTGATTAGTGGAGTTGAGTATTTACACTATGGAAAATTAATCACAATGATTTCATTGGGAATTGGGCTTGATTTGAGGTAAAATCACTTTGTTGTTTTGTAGTTTTGAAAGATAACCATGATGGTGAAACTGTATACATGAAGCTGCACCGGTAATGCAGAGAACCATAGCTGCCTAGTTTCTAAAAGAGACCAATTAGTGTTGTACATGTCCCTTTGTTATCACACCTGCAATCCCATCATGAAAGCATCAATGTTATTGTAGACTGATAAATTTGATTTAAGTTTGTTATTTTGACATAAGTGAACTTGGACACATCATGGATATGGGATGAGGGAGAAATTGAACCATATTTTCACTTTTTTCTTTGCTAGGTAAACTGGCACTTTTATCAGTGTTATCCACTAGATGCCAATACAAATTCCTAGCCCAAAACAATTATTTATTTTTTTTTTGGGGGGGAAGGTCAGAGGCGGGGTTTGGAAGGTGGGGCTTGTATTAAAAAAAAAATGTACTTCAGTTTGTTTGGTTTGTTGGGAGAAACATCAAGGGTTTGAACTTCGAATTCTTAATCCCTCTCACCCAGACCAGGATGTGTACCACTAAGCTGAAGCTCAAGGGGACATGGTATCTGAAACATAGATGGCTGTATCCATTTCTTATATTAATGGGCATTGTACAAAATGTCTACGACTATTATGAGAAACCCAACCTTCATAAAGACAAACAACACAACTCATGGGGAAACCCTGAGCACTCAATGTCAAACTCTCCACTCCTAGATTGCTCCATTTTCAGCCTTGCTTGTGATAGACTACCTTTGCCGATGCTGTTCAGCATAATTTTGTATTCTTCCCTAACAACTGAAATCATACTGCCATTAACTAAATCACCCCTTCCAGATATGAGAGTAACTGCAATCTATTGCTTGGCAGCCAGCCATTTTCATTTCTTGGAGTATCCTACCACTTGGCCTACCATAGAAGACTCAAAGGGGCCTTTTGGGCTTTTAGAACCTTAATCCTAGCGATTGTGTCCATACAGGTGGTAGAAGCCTAGGTTGGCATGTACATGTTAAGACTCGAATACCCTCCATGCCATGGTTAAGCCGAAGGAGCAGGGGCGTAAAATGTTAGTTGGGGGAAGCTGCTGGTCTTACACATGGCATACTACCAATGGTTTTCTTAGATGTATCATATATTAATACCTTTACATGTTCAGCTCAAATGTTTTATTGAAAGTCATAGTTATCTTTCAAGGTGCCACATCAACTTGTAATCTTTAATTTAAGGATACATAATATAATAATGTCACTTTCATTGAAAAGGGAAATTTATCAAAATACATGTTATCTCATGTGTTCTACGCTGGGTTATCTCACCAACACAGGGGGCTTTCGTTAAGGATTGCCAGATCCTCGATGGGCCCTCATTGACCATGAGTTTATCACTCCTATCATCTCTCAAAACCGCCCCATCTAGTCATTAAGCTTGGCTGGAAGAAAGCATGCGATCATGTAGATTGGAACATCCTTGATGAGACCCTCATGAGAAATGGGCTTCAGATCAATGTTCGCAAAATTGAACCAGAACGGTTAACCGTACATGGGCATGGAAGCAATTTAACCGGCCTAACTGGTAAATTGGCCGATTCAACCGCTCTAATCGGGTAAGTCCCGAGCGGTCAAAACAATGTTGAAAAAAATACAAAAAAAATCTACTAAAATATGAAAAACATATAAAGAATGATTAAAACAAAACACATTCAAATGAAGTTGAAAATTAATGAAAAAAATGGATTTTAACCCATTTTATATTTTCCAAGGGCTATTTTTAAAATTTTCTAAAAAAGATAGGAAAATATAAAAGTGAGTATTAATGACCAAAACAATTTTTAATCTTTACCATAATGTAAAGAATATTTAAAAATGTATTACAAATCAAATACCTCCTCCTTTTCCTCAAATGCTTTGAAATGGCCATTGGCTTTAGGGTGAACTTGACTAAGTTTAAGATGATAGGGGTGTGTGCTGATGACCACTTGGTTCATAGTTTGGTTGAAAGGTGGGCTTGTTCGGTCGACGACCTCACTTCCACTTACTTGGGACTCCCATTGTGCCTGGGCGTACCTAGACTCAATCAATGGAGTCATATCATCGACAAGTTCAATTGGAGGCTCGTAGGCTGGAAAGGAAAGTTCCTTTCCTCAGCTGGCAGACTCACATCAAGGCCACCCTTTCTTACACTCCTATCTTTCAGACGTCCATGTTCCATATGCCAGCCTCAATAGCTGCTCGATTAGAGAAGCTGATGTGGGACTTCCTTTGGTCGGGGTAAGGAGGCCACAAGTACCATCTCATCTCTTGGATTAAGGTGTGCATGACTAAAGCCCAAGGTGGACTGAGCTTTTGTTGCCTCAGATCAAATAACATTGCACTCTTGGGCAAGTGGTGGTGGCATTATGCCACGCAACCCCAATCAACTGTGGAGGGAGGTCATTTGCCACAAATTTTGCCATTGATTTGAAGCCTGGCTCCCAGCGTGCAGGAACAGCGGCAACGTTAGACTCAACCTCTTTTTACAACATATTTGTTATTGTCCGAGAGAGGGCAATAGGGTGATGTTCTGGTCCAACCTTTGGATGGGTGATACCCTGCTAAGGGACCAGTTTCTTTTTTGGATAAAGTTGACTTGGTATTAATAGAATATAAAGATACAAGGGAGAGTATTATTCTAAAAAAAAAAGATACAAGAGAGTTTTAGGCACTCCCCTTAACTAGGTGCCCTGTCAAAAACCTTTGAAGTTACATGGGACTCTACAACAGAACCAAAAAAGAAGGGATGAGTGCTAGGGGGGTCGGAATTCCCCTGGGGAGAGTTGAGACTAGCTCTGCTTTGCTAAGGCATCTGCCTCATCATTACCCGCTAAGGGACCAGTTCCCCAACCTTTTCCTCCTCGCTTGTGATAACCATTCTAGTATGGCTGATAACTTTCTAAGGTTGGGTTCAGTTAGATCTTGGAGTCCTAACTTCAGAAGGCCCATTGTGGATCATGAAGTGGAGGAGTTTGTGGCAATAGCAGCACTCCTCCACTCGGTGTTCCTCCTTCCAGATGGGGCTGACAAAATCGTATGGGTACCAGCTGTGCCTGGAATATTTCCATGCCCTCCTTTTTTCGCTTTATCACCTCGCCACTAACCCAACCAGCAGCCTCCCCTCGATGTGGCTAAAGCGTTGTTCTCTTGCATTCCACCCAAGAGCCAGGTCTTTAGCTGGATTGCTCTTTATGAAACAACCTTGACCATCGATCATATCCAAAGAAGGGGTCTCCCATTACCCAATAGATGCGTGACTTGTTTGGAGGCTGAAGATACCATTGCACATCTCTTCATCAACTACGACATCGCAAGAGCCCTATGGAGCAACCTTCTTCAACTGTTCATTGGTGGTGGGTTACCCCTCAATCGGTCCCTCACCTCTTTGCTGCCTGCCTTAGCTCCTCTTGGCCCAGGTCAGGCAATCTCCTCCAGAGGGCTTCAATGGCTGCCACTCTACAGGTAATTTGTTTAGAAACGAACAACATAATCTTTAGGGGGGGAGAGAGCCACAGTGGTTATATTGATTGACATAGTCCAAACTTTGATCTCCTTCTGGGCCAAAAACCAAAAGTTATTTAGAGATTTCTCGTTTTCTGACCTCCATCTCAATTGGCAGCAACTTTTGAGACTGAGACCCGTCAGGATCATACGGGCATCCATGTGGAGACCATCGGAACCAGGCCAAACTAAGCTGAATTTCGATGGTTGCTCGCTCGGCAACTTGGGACCTTCCGGCATTGGGGCCATCTACAGAACCAACGACGGCAGCCTTTTTCTTTCCTTTCCCTCCCCATTCTCTCTGCTGATTCCACTTTAGCGTAGGCTCTCCCTCTCTTGTAGGGCCTTCGAAAATTCAATCCTAGCTGGAGTTCCAATTTGGTAGTCAAAGGGGATCTAGAAAATCATCGCCTGGGCTTCTGGCTCTGCATTCTGCCCTTGGAGATTCGACCATATTTTTTCTGAGATTTTACTGATTTGCAGGACTACGTGAGTCTCATGGAGGCATATTTTCAGGGAAACCAATGTAGTAGCCGACGATGTAGCTAGGGAGGGAGCATCGTCAGCTCCTCCACAGACATTTTTGGCAATTTGTTTCGCACTTAGTCCCCCTTTTTGTATCTACTTTTTTCTGTTCTTGCTGTAGAGCATTGTTTGGGCCCCTAAAGTGGGTTTTTATACATGGCACCCATGTTCTGGGTTGCCTCATTTTTTGTACATCTCTCTTTACTACTTAATATTAAAGTCAACATCTTCAAGAAGAGATTAACAATTTAACATGTGAACCCATATACTCTGAATTAATTTCAAAATACCCATCAAAATGCACATGATTTTGACTTGGAATAGTAATAAAGCGTAACATGTTAAATAATTAAAATGTGAGGTGTATTTTCACAAATTTCCCCTCATCATCATCATCATCTGAGCCTTATCCCAACTATTTGGGGTTGGCTAAACGAATCCTGTTCTGCATATTTTAATAAATTTCCCTTTAAAAAAAAATGTCACGTGCTGTGGTGCCAGTCATCCTCCCACGGGTATGTAAAATAAGAGTGCAAGTGTTTTTATGATAAGGACAAAAAAGCTGGATTTGGATATTATTTTAATAAAAAAAACACTAGAGCCTATCAATTATTGGTCAAATGGTAGTCAACACACTTATCATGTATAACTAAATAAATAAGTAGATTTCTATTTTCTTTAATGCATTAGTAAGACTTCAGTATTGGTTGGTAGTTACTGAGTCATACCAGATTGCCCTTATAGTGTAGGTTATTATGGTTTTAGATAGCTTTTGAAGTATGATTAATTGAAGATAGTGTTTGGAAGTGCTTTCTTTTCCTTTGTGATGAAAATCTTATGTTATCTTTTATGTGTTTGGCTTCTCTTCTCTTTCACATAAAAACCATTTCTAAGGACAAGCTGATTAGGGACGACGGGTTGAAGAAGATAAACAAACCAGAAAAGTGAAATAGAATTACCATATCTTCTGTCATGTTGTAATTTTCTATTTTTATTTAAAATATGCACATATGAGTTTGAGATAACGAGAATTTGTTCTGTCTTTTTTTGCATAAAGGTTCACAGTTGAAATTGATCTGTAATACCTTACTGGCTTTCCAATTCATATCCTACAGGAACTTACATTGCTCTTGCTAGGTTTGATTGCAGAACTAGATTGGTGGCACTCGCAACCCAAAAATTCATTGCAGAAATTGCGAATGATGCTCTTCAGTATGTTTCTTCTTCCCATACTTGACTGTTCTTTTAACATGCCAAGTTTTTTTTTCTTCATGCATCTTGGCCATTTCTTATCATTTTGAGTATACATAAAGGAAATGTGAAATTGTGAGTTATGAGAAAAAAAATATGATTATTTTACCCATTATGTTAGTTGATTTTTTTCGTAGTAACATATTGCTAAGTTGTTTTAATGTTCTGTAGGCTAGTATTCGGTGCCTGCTTGACCTCACACAGTTTTTATCCAACATTATCATTTCTTATATCTATGCTGCTGGCTAGTAACAAGCTGCGTTGTATTGTACTTCATTGTAGTGGAAATTACTAGTGGTGCTTGCATTTACTTTGGGCATTACGAATTGGTGATCTTTTTTTTGGATTATTTAGGATAAGTTTATTGTGTGGCATGCAACAAAATTCACCTATCATTTACGCCAATTGTATGGCTTGCTTTTCATTCACGTATTTGTGCACTTATTTGTTTGGTACATTTTGAAAAATTAGAAACTTCTCTGATGATTCCCCTTGATGGGTGAGCTTGGGGCTTGTTTGAACACAGCACACCCATATATACTTGGTAAAACCGACCATGTTACATGCTAGTTTATTGAGCCTATTTGTAGAAGGCAGATGCTACAACACCTGGTGTTTTATTTCCTCTCCAAAATCCAATTCAATGATTTCTCTGGAGTGGAAAATTTTCCCATCATGTTGATTAGAAGTGAAAGGATGGGCTACTCCTATTGGCTATGTGTCATGACTTAGTGAGAGTGGATTCAGACAAATTGGTCATTCGTGTATTGCATATTTATGTGTTGGATTTTCTAGGGGGTGGTTGATAATATCCATCTTGTAGCCAGTCAAGAAGTGTAGAATACAAAACCGGGGTTATTGTGGGCATGGAAGCTACGAAGTTTCAATTATAGTCCCTCATATATGGCTTAGAAAATATGGATGTCAGTGTTGGTTTTGGTGTTCATTAAACTTGATTTTGAAGAAAATAAGGCTTCAACAGACTTCATGATGTGCTTCTTCTTTGGACTAGGATGAACAATAATAGAGACATTATTTTAGTGTTATTGATGCCCACCACTTGGTAGCCCAATATACAACAGGGTGTTTGGCAAATCAGCCCTCAGATACAATCGCCCAATAAAGCACTATTGTTCTCTCTAGCCCTCAATCCTACAGAGAATCCAAGATACTACAATAACATTCCAATTTGTCACTTCTCTCAATGGAGGAAACTCACTTCCACTGGTTTGAGAGAGGAAAATACATTGCTAATGGGGAGCGCAAACCCTTTGTTTGATATGGGAGCAACCCACACTTTGAAAAGAGAGAAAGGGGACACAGTGATAATTGATGACCAAGTGTTTTTAGAAAAGAGAGAGGAAGAAGAAAGATGAGTTTCGGATTAGGTTTTCTATGAGTTTTTTGTTTTCTCTCTGGTTTCAGGTCTGGTTTAGCTCCAAAAACTCGTGGTTATAGTCTTGAGATGTGTGAAAAGAAGACTGGTCAAATGGGAAGAGAGAGAGAGAGAGGCCATGCATCACTTGCAGGTGTCACTCACTTGCAGATGTGGAAATAATAGGTCTACTGCAGTGCGTGATTCAGACACTACTGTGGTCCCTACACCTACTACAGTGCTTTATACAGTGCCGCTGCTGTGCATACACCCTGTAGTGGTGGTCCACATCTCAGCTGCTGCATATTACAGACCATGCTCCATCATGGCCTGCACACTCTGCTGCAGTAGCCAGGACATTACTGCTGTCCTTTATCACACATGCGACCGTGGTAGTCCATACCGCCTTTAATAGTTGTTTATTGCAAATTCTTTAAGCAGGTCTGGCTATGCATAGCAAAAGAGGAAGACATTGCCCCCATTACTCACATCCACCATCAACCAGCTGCTTGTTACATGTATGTTTTGAAAGCACACAAATTGAAGGCACCCAAGAGGTCCATGTCTCCTTTTCTTGTGTTCTCAATGTCTCAATGAAGAACTCCCGTACATATGCCCTTTGAATGTTTCTCTCTTGCCAATGTTTTGAGTACCCGAATTTCAAAATTCCCTTCTGATATGAAATAGGATTTTCTGCAACATCTGGATCTCCATCCAGATCATCATCATCATCTAGCCTTTTCCCAATTAATTGAGGTCGGCTGAATCTCCATCCAGATATTTATCAAAAATTGGCTGTGATTCACATTCTATGACTTCTAGATTGTGTGAAAAATCTGAAAAAACAGCTACTTACACCAAGACCAAGATCTTTTAAGGCTTCAATCTTTTGCTAAAAGCCACTTATCCTCAACCCATTGATCAAACAGTCCTTGTGTGGGTCATGTCACCATCATGAATCAACACCATCTCTTGCAGAGGATCCTCTTTGATACCATTGGTGCATGGAAAATATTGCTGCCCAAAGGTGCAACCCAAGATGAAGGGTTCTGACCATGGTTACCCTCAACTGTAACCACTGGAATGGTTTCACAAGGATCTCAAACTTAAGTAAAATTTCCACACTTTCAAAATTGCAATAAATGTAAAATTTAGAGATGAAGCTTTTTGCTATATAGCACCTATAGATAGTTTATAGGTTGCCTTTGGTATTCCATATTTGTGGGACCAATGTGCTACATTCATAGAGAGAAAATATGTGGAAGTTACTAAAATGGTGGCTTTGGTTACCACATGCTTGTGTCAAGGACCAATAAAGTGAAACATGCTGTATAATACAGGAAATGAGAAAGAAGCGGAATACAGGTCGAAACTCCCACTCTTATGGGGTTCACTTGAGATCGTCCGCGAGTATATTGGGGCATGACCTGATGTGGCCATACTACGCAAAACTCCTTGGGTCTTTTCTTACTGGACCCAAGCCCTTAACAGAACAACTCACCTTTCAACCAAAGGAAACCTCTTTACCCAAAGAACTCACCTTCCTCCATATGACCCCATATTTTGGGAAACTATTCCTATTTCATGTAGTTTTTCAACTTCCAAAAGACGAAAATATTCTGGAGTTGTGTCATATTAACTACTTCAACAATGAAACATTTTCAATTGGCAGTGTGTCAGGTGTTATGTAGTTTTCTTCCTTACTTTGAAAATGCTAACCAGTTGGTTCTAACTTGTTCTTTACAATTTATTAAAATTAATAACCCAAGTTAATCGACAGAGTTTCCTACCAAGTAAATTAATTTATGGAGGTTCTACTGTATCTTTGTGATGATGCTTTTCTCACGCAATAGGCCTTAATTGCAAGTGTTCCAACTAGCACTCGCTTGTCCATTCCTTGCCCAATTTCCACTGCACAAGATTCACAGGGACTTCGCTGGTGTTGAGAAGATTTTGATGAAGCTTGTGATGTCCACATGCTGAAAATAGGAAATGGAGCCGATCTCATAAGCTCCTTTGGAAATCAACTATTGACTGAAAAACTGATTGAAAGCCCTAGGACGAATTGCGAGAGATGATAGGCAGGTTATTTGCTGATATTTTACATGTTGATCACAAGCCACATATAACATAGGTGCTTCTAAAGAATTTCTGGTGTGGGTTCTTTGAATGGGTTTCACACCATGTTTCTCTTGTCAGTTTTAGAATTTTTTTTCTAATATTTACGTTCTGTAACAGGCTGTGCAAAGCTAGGCAATCAGCAGTTGTTAAGGATAAGAGAGATAAACTGCAAAAGGTATAGTGAATTGTAAATTATGTGCAAGTTATGTAATGTCTGTGTTGTAGTTCTACTGCTAATGCTGGTAATAATGATCAGGATAAGCGCCTCATTTTGACAAACGACGATCTCTCTAAGGCATTACGTGAAGTAAGTACCCTCCATGGAATGATCTTCTAGCAATGTTTGAATAATATTTTATACTAGGCATTGCTTCCATAAGATGGTTTGGCTTGGTCTGATACTGATCTGATTAGTGTCATATGCTACAACATAAAATGAATACATAAAAATATCAGGTCTCTATGGTTTACGCTTTTTAAATGGCCTTGCCAGTCAACTGCAACCTGTTCTCTTGATTTATTACCGAGCCCTTTCATTTCTTAAAATTTTTTGGCAGATGACGAGAAACACTTATTTATTTTTACTACTAATGATGGAAGAATTGTTTCTCAAAATCATTAACTCGGATGATTATTTTATGTGTTTACAGTATGGGGTGAATATGAAGCGCCAAGAATATTTTGCTGAGAGCCCATCAACTGGAATGGAATCTGCAGCTAGGGATGATTAGTGCACAAATTCAGTTGTACGAGCTCTGTATACTTGTTCTGTTTAGAAATGGATCGCTGTTATGTCATACAATACTCGGGGTTTACTTTTATTAGTCCATTTTTTAGTTTGTTGTTTCGAGTACATGTATCATACTAAAGAGAGTGAGCACGTTTTGTGTGTGAAACATCTGGAAACTTTTCAAATTGATTAATGAGATCCATGTATCATGCTTAGTGTAACTTTCCTCAGCTTCGAGCCTTCCCAACGAAATTTTATGGTTGATTCGCGTGATACTTCAAATTTAAGGAAGTGTTTCCTTATAGAAGTTTTGAGTATCAAGAAATTGACATATGCGGCTGGGATTTTGTAAAGATGACTAAAAATGAGCACCATGAAATGGAAATACGTTTGCGCTGCTATTGGGGAAAATGGCCCAAAATACAATTATCCACATGTTTGGTTTCCAGAAATGTTCCTAGATCTCTCTCTCTCTCTCCATTTTTACCCATTCTCTGAACTTCTCTGCATCTTTATTTCTCCTGGGTTTATCCTAGTTCAATTTTTTGCCTGATTTTGCTGTTCATTGAACTTGTAATATTTTTGGAAGGAACTTTTTTTTTTTTTGGGTAATTCAGTAAGAAAGACTGCCCCTACCTGTTTTTTTCAATAGATTAGGAGTTATATTTTTTAAGGTGTTAGTGGTAAGGCTGGAGTATATTTTTTAAGGTGTTAGTGGTAAGGCTGGAGACCACAATGTGGTGTCTAGGTGTGGGGATGCCACCTCCATGTCCATGACCCTAACTCCTTTTCCTTTTCCTAACGTTTCTCTGTTGTGTTTGGCTTTACTGCCTCTTTCTATTTTTCTTCAATACTTTTACAAACCCACCTCATTACCAAAAGTGAACCTTTCATGAAAGATATCTTCTTTAATGCCCTCTTTGGCACTTTGATCTTATCTATTTTACTGTAATTCTTGTTTGTGAAACCCCAACTCACATACCTTTCATTTCTTTTGGCGAGGAGCTTCATGGCCTTCCCGTATACTGGAGTCGTTATTTTTTTGTTTTCTCTTGGCACCACTTGTCTTGCCATCGCTGCCCCCATGCAGAGCACATTTGACAATACTCCAATTTAACTTTACAAGAAGACCACATGCCACTAGCTATTTCAATCTTAAGGGACATTTATCAAAATATCAGAGGGGAACTATTTAACATTTTACCGATATAGTTTACGACACATAATCATGAGTTGGAATAGTTGTAAATTTGTAAAATGTTATATAGTCCATGGTATTTTGATAAATCTCCCTAATTTTAAACATACATCCACGTCCATGTAGAGATAGAGAGAGATAGCGAGAGAGAGAGATTACAGTACACAAACCAATTTAATACATGTTTCACCACATATATGACACTCTTTTGGCTTTGCCACTGTTGCATGTGTCGTCTCAAAACATTAGACTCAAACGTGTCCATATAAAACCAAAACGGCAAAACCATGAAGGTAGCAAATGCCGAATGAAACAAATAAATCCAATTAAAACCTAAGATAAACGTTTGCCTGGGTTTGGTAATGCCTTTTTTTATTTTATTTAAACTGCCACCTTTGTAAGGGGTCAATAGCAGTCAATGATACCATTTACAATGGCACGGCCCTTCAAAATGCCGCGTCAACTATCAAAACGAAAATCCAATAAGAACACCATCACCAGACCCACATTCTTCATAATTCTTGATGATTGAATTTCCAAAGGAAAATTAATTCAATAAGAACAACCATCAGAACAAAAATCTTCATACAACTGAATCACAAAATTTGACACCAACCCCGACCCTCCTGAAAATCTGACCTTCCCGAACTCATGAAGGGCAAAACACCATGATTTTATGATTTCAAACAAAAATCAAGATGTAGGCCTTTTAGGGTGGGTAGAAAAGGGTCGACATCACCAATCCCATTCATGAAATAGACACCAAATTAGCAGAGAGAAATGAAAATAGGAAGAACCTCTCAACTGTTCAAATCTTTTCTCATCAAGGTTCTACTTTAGTTCCTGACCATACTCAAGCCAGGAAAAACCCCCACCCTAATCCTTACTGCCATCTGGCATGCTGAAGCTTCTCGACCATCAGATCATGCTGATGTGAAATCATTTTAAGCTTTGGGGAGGATGCAAACCATTCCATTTCCAACCCTATGTTCTAATGTGTACATAGTCGCACCTTTAACGTACTGGTGGTGATCCAAGGCTGCCTTTCTTAGGATTGAGAGCCTCATAGATTCATCTTCGCTACACCTCTTCACGATTGAACATGCTGCAAGTGGGTCTTCCATGCTAGCTCCAGCTCTCCTGCCCAAGATTAAGAATCGAGTCATTTTTGTAGTGAATACCCAAAAAAAGGCCATTTTCGTAGTGTGAAAGATCTCATTCTAGGGAATTCCTTTGCAAGGTAAATTACTTGGGAATGTTTAAAATTTTGGGTTTGCTAAGAAATCGTTGGGAGAAGACACGAAGACTAGAAAAAATGCAAACTCCATAAAAGAGCATTTTTTTATCGCTCGCAACTTTCTCTAGAGACAGACTCAGGGGAATTTAAAATAGGAGGAAGATCTGGCAACATTTTGGAAAATATTTGTTCATTAACACTACTTGAGATATTTTTGCAAGTTCTTTAAATGGTGATATTTGTTACTGTGCTTGTGGCCTGGAACTAGCACCATGTTAATCGGAATTATTGCCCCTTCTATCTAATAAACGAAGTTCAGACTAATCAATTCAGCATATCAAAGAAATGAAAAATGAAGAATAACTTGTTATCAAAAAGTCAAGGAATAATTGTTTATTGATAGAAAGAGAAGGAAATTTCCAGAGAAGATATTTACCCCAAAACCTTCTCGAATGCAATTCTTGCAGCATAAAGTGTACTTTTGCTTGGGAGCCCCTCCAAATTGCGGTTGAACTCTGCTCTCATTGGGGAGTGAATTTTGATAAGCTGAGTCAGAGAGGACAATTTAAGATATCATTCCCACGTATAAAATGGAAGGAGACTTACCAAATTTAACTTCGTTGTATACCATTAAAGAGAGATTACCCCTAAACACTCCATCATCTGGTAGTATGCCCTTCCATGTAGGGGAGTGTGCCCTTGTCTGGACTCTGAAAAATATCTAGTCCTGAATAAATAACAACCAGATGGGAAATGCTTCTCCTGTTTCAAGCAAAGCCCAAACCATAAATTGTATATATAACTGCTAAAGAGTGCTTGCTTACCATTCTTTGTATCCAGGGTCTACAGTAAAACCATACATATCAACAGAGTCACAGACTGAGAGAGCAAATTCAAGTGCCTTTAGTCCAGTGCCCTTTGCAGCTGAGCCAAAGGATGTTCCCAGCATAAGATATACTGGGTTGTGGATTGGAACTTCCTAGACAGGACAACAAATATTAGTGTGAACCAGGCAAGAAAATTATCACTAGCCAGTGTTAAGAGGCCTCGCATGAAACACTTAAAGGTCATCTTCTTCTTTTCTTATCTTAAAATCAGAAGTTTGCAAGTGATTGGCTAAAAGTTGAATCACATTTCACACATGCAAGATAACCACAAAGACATCATGAAAGATCTCAGATGCTAAGAACTTTAACAAAAAATGACTCACCTTTGTTGCTCGATCTTCAGTCCTCAATGTTTTGAATGAATATCGAGTTTTAAATCACCCAAGATATCCTTTAATAACCTCTAGTGATATTTCCCTAAGAATCAAATCCAAAAATTCTGGATTTGATTTTCCATAGAGTTTTCCTCAGCCTCAGTGTGGGAGAAAAACGAAAATTCATGACCGAAGGCATGTTCCTTCCTTGGGCCATTTGCAAACTGAGGAAGGTGCCTCAGCTTAGGTGTGAAGCAAACACCTCAAGTTGACCCATGTAGAAACGCTTGTCTTGGCCTGTATGAGGCGCCTAGGCCTCTGCATTGCCTTGAGGCGCCACCTAGTAGAAAATTAAAATATGGAGTATTTTCCTAGTAGCAAGGACTTCCTCGAATTTGCATTACAAATTCCCATTCCAAACCATCTTTTTCTCTATTGAACTTAATTTCCGTCCTAAATAACATCTCGCCTATAAAACAAACTACTATTTTTTACAGCCAAACAAAACTCGCTTTGTTGCTCACTGTAACTCTCTTGCTCGCTATAACTCTCTCTTGCTCGCTATGACTCCATGGGGACTTCGTCAAGGCCTCTCACTCAATGGAAACTTCACATGGCCATACTACTACTGTTTGAACTAGTGCTTTGTTCATTTTTCTGATCTCAAAGACGATATCCAAAGCCTTAAACCCACTGGACCTCTCTCCCTGGTTCTCTCTCTTTCTCCATATGAACACCTCTCTCCCTGGTTCTCTCTCTCCCTGGTTCTCTCTCTTTCTCCATATGAACACATCCCCACCGCCATTGATCCCCTTTCCTTATCCCTTTCTCTCTCTTCATACCAAGACAATCCTACTATCTCTCATCCTATCTCCACAATTCTCACTCACATTACCCCAATAAGACTCTCCCCTCCCTCTCTTTACATGTTTTGGCAACCATAAGCAAGATTCCGATGACCTTACCTATGATTTCAACCACCATATGCAAGATGTTGGTGAGCCCATTCGAGATTAACGCAACCAAACAATTTAGGATTCCTGCAATGATGATACCCAAAGATTCTCAAGATTCCGGCGAACATGTTCAAGATTTCAGTCATGGCCCCCAATGCATGCCTTGCAACAAGATTACAAGAATTTCGCTTCCAGCTAGGTCCTAGGGGGCCACATGACTGCCTATAAAGACATTCTTTCAAAGATGAATTCAAGGAAAACAGAGAGAGAGAGAGAGAGAGAGAGAGAGAGAGAGAGAGAGAGAGAGAGAGAGAGAGAGAGACGACGTAGAAGTAATATTACTAACTAAGTAGTACGGTAGTTGTAGGTAGGTTAGGTTACGTTAACGTTACGTTACGTACGTACGTT